AATGCCATTTAGGACTTGGAATTGAAGTACACAGGTGGTAGAATTTTTAAAACAGATCATGTTATAGAGGTGGTCGGTGTTTTTGGATGTGTTATTTTTTTTCGGCGTTCACTGTAGTGATGATGTACGTAGGGTTCATCCATGTACGCGGCATGGGGGCCGTCAGGTGGATGTACACACCCCGGGCGAGTGCATTATCCATGGACACTAGTTATACGTGGAGCCCTTCCGATTACCTCGCGAGTAACTTAGATTGTGTTGGACACTTCATAGCGTTGCTACGAGCTCCTTCGTGTCATCGGGGTCGTACTCCAATATGCACATCTCACGGAGGAAATCGTGATGTTGGACGATTTGTTTAGGTGCAGGTAGACCGCCGGTCTCGGATGAATGTTCGAACCATCTAGGCGACACACTTTGTCCCCAGTACCGATGTTTGATGTAGTATGTGCACAACAGATTGCTGGTGGTGCAGAGGTAGTATCAGTCTGGTTTAGCAGGTACTCCCGCCAAACATCCTGGACAATGTAAAATTTGAGACCGAGAGCCACGGCGAGAACAGCCTGACTGCGAAACTATGGATGAAAGTGGAGAATTTCAAGCTCGTTCCTCTCGCGTAACTATGCAAAATAAATTATCCTTGACAAAGGCAAAGCACTTTCAAGTCGCAGTTCCATTAGTTCAAGGGCTGATATGGAAGTGCTGTCCTGTTATCGAGTTTTCTCATGATAAGTGGACATAGAGTTGCACAGTGCCTGAAAGCTCGAATATAGAATACCTCTATGAAATTATATCGAAATTTCGGAGTTTCATGATAAACTTATGCGGGCCGCAATAACCTTAGGGGAAAATTGACAGTCACTCTTCTATAATAGGGTAATTAATTTCGAAGGTTATTTAATTTGAAGGGATATATGTTTCAATAATACTCGCATTTGAATTGCCTGTCGAGTAGATTTTTCAAGAGAAATTCATCCCAAAGTGATGATGATGATGAGAACGTGTTACGCGTTAACTATTTTTGAGACTAGTTTTCGCATACGTTTGGCTAACAATATCGTCGGCGGAAATCTCGTTCTGAGATCTCGAGGCCGTCTTCGTCAAGATATTTCCGTTTGGTTCCCTGTCTGCGTGGTCGATGTTGGACTTCCGTAGGCGCGTTCGTTGTTGCAGTTTCGATGTCTTTGATGAGTTGTATCCATGCGGCCCTATCCTGAGAGAGATCACGGAGCTCTTCAAGGTCTGTATCTGTGAGCAGTTTCCTCGGTGGAGATAGCCGGCTGAGGTCTTGATGTAGTGTGGACGGGAGACTTGTGGCTCGGCGTCCTTTGTATTTCGGTGCCTCAGATTGCTTGAAATATGCTGTCATGAACGTGTTGGCTGGTATATCACTGTGTCGTCGTAAGATATGGCCAAAGAGATTCCATCGCTGCCGGAGGATTGTAATGTGGAGTGGCTTCGTCTTGCATCGGCGATAGAGTGCGTCGTCCGATATGTGTGTTGGGAAATGGATGCCAAGAAGAGAGCGGAGCTGGCGGCGGTGAAATTGTTCCAGGGTCTTAAGCTCGGTCTGTGTCAGGGCCCAAGTTCCGCAGTTATAGAGGAGGATAGGCTTGACGTAGCTGTCATATAGACGGAGTCGAGTTTTCTCGGCAATGTGGTCTCGGCGTAACCATAGTTTCCACATGTTCCTGAAGCTGGCTTGGGCAAGAGTCTTTCGTTTCTGGATGTCTTTGTTGTCGTGCAGGAGGCTTCCAAGTTTACGCGTTGTGTGCCATGAGTAGCCCGGTGGCGATTGTTGTGGCGGTCTTGTGTTTATCAAGGTCGTGATTTCAGTCTTTTCCGTGTTCATTTTGAGGTCCCATTGCGCCAAGGTAGTGGGTGCAGTTTCGATGATACCGTCTATAGCGTCTTGTGAGGAGCAGATAATGTCGATGTCGTCGGCGTAGGCAATGGTCTTGAAGTTGATATCCATTTTGGGCAAGAGGTCTCGACGGAGGTCGCGCAGGGCTGCTTCAAGATACACAATAAACAGTACTGGGGAAAGGGAGTCGCCTTGTGGTGTTTCAACGTTGGTGGCAAATATTCGACCTAGAAAGAATCGATGCCGGAGCCGTAGCGATGTGTTGGTCAGCAGGAGCGAAATGAGTCGTAGGTCATCATCGTCGACAATGGGTTGTGGAACTTGTAGGAGTTTCGTGCGGTCGATCGTGTCAAAAGCCTTTGATAAATCAATACCTATAATGTGGTAGACTACTTGATAGTGCTTGATACGGGCGATGAGCCATTTGTGGGCCCATATCGCGTCGGATGTGCCTCGGTGCTTACGGAAACCGCTTTGATAATGACCAAGGAATATCTCAATCTTGGGGGCAGTGCGGCGAAGGACCAGTATGGAAATAGCCTTGCGGATGTGGTTGAGAAGGACGATGGGTCGGAGACTTGAGCATAGACCGAGTGGCTTGCCAGGCTTGTGGAGGCATATAAGTGTACCTTCTCCAAGCGGGAGTGTTGTGCCTTCCTCGAAACTGCGGTTGAGTGTACGTGCTAAGAGGGGGCAAAGGTCAGGTGCGACTGCTTTGAGGATCTCCGAAGGGATGTTGTCGGGACCAGTTGCTCGGTTGTGCCTGAGACGTTTGATGGCGTCGTGAAGCTCTTGCGGCTCGATGGGCTTGTTGAGGGCACGCTTCGTCGTGTCCGGGCCGATGGTTTCTCTCTCGGGAGCGTGGAATTGCCCTTCGAAATGAGAGGTAATTGTCGATATTACCTTTCTGCGGTTAAGAATGGCTTTGCCGTGTGTGTTGTGGATGACAACTTGTGGTGTTTTCTTGTACATGGCGAGTTTAACTGCGGCGAACATACGGCTGTTCGGGTGGAGAGATTCTATCTGCTTTGCAAGCTCGTCGAGGTGGGCGTTGGCAAGATCTCGGCAACGTCGGCGAATGCCGTGGAGGATTTGGGACCGTTCTTGGCGTAGCAGCGGGATGAGTTCAGGCCCAGTGCTCTTGTCGTTGATACGTTGCCAGAGCAGTTTTTGGCGGGAGCTGAGGTCACGCAGGGTTTGGTCGTCATAGCGGAAGCGTGCGATTTTGTCTTGGGGCCCGAGTGTTTCCAAAGCTGCAGTGTATATTTCCGTCATGGTGTTGTGCCATACAATGTCGGGTGGGGCTGGGTCTTGATCGTTTTCTTGTTGGTCAAGAATGCTTCTCACTTGGTCGTTGAGGCGATCCCGTAGGTTGTCGTCGCTGAGCTTGGATAGTGCAAGGCGTGGCGAGGGGTTCTGGTGCTTTGGCTTCATACGCTTGGGGAATAGGAATTTGTCAATCGGGAAGTCAGCTGTAACGAGCTTGTGATCTGATTTCATTCTGAGGCCACCCCAACTTTGTGCATCGAGGCATGTGTCGGAGAGGTTCTTGCTGCATATGATGAAGTCGATCTGGTTGTATACACAATAGTCGCCACGTCTTGAGGTCCAAGTGGTGATGTTTCTGGCGTTCTTTTTAAACTTCGTGTTGACGGCGAACAGGTCATTGAGAGAGCAGAACTCAGCGAGAAGGTCGCCATTAGAGTTCCTGTGGCCACGTCCATGTTGCCCCATGAAGGGGAGCGTGTATGGAGATTTCCCGAGCTTGGCGTTAAAGTCACCACATATCACTTTGATGTTGCCTCTGGGAAGGCTGTTGTAGGCAGCGTGAAGTTCTTCGTAGAAGCTCTCGCGAGCTTCAAGGGGGTAATTCATATGCGGACTGTAAGCGCAGATGAAATGGAGTGACTTCACGGAATGTTTGTTTTGCCTAAGAGTGAGTATGGCAACACGGGGGCTGGGTCTGTGGACGCTGTCCATCAGCGGCTTGACCCGAGCGGAGAGCGCGAAACCTAGAGAAGTTAGTGGTTGAGCTCCGTGAACATTGATGAGATGATAAGATTTATCCTTGGTGACGAGCGGGGTGATTCGATAATCAGGAATATGCGTTTCTTGGAGGCAAAGAACATCGAGACGGTAGCGGGCGAAATCGTGGGCAAGTTCGGCTTCTTTCACCTTGGAAGTGAGAAAGTTCGCATTTAGGGTACCAATTCGGATGCGGGGAGTTCGTTGACGAGGGGATATTGTTAGTTGAGCTAAGGATTTACAAAGCCGAGAGAGATTTCTCGACTTCATCTCGCAGCAGGCTACGTCCGGGTAATCACACCAACCGGAACCGGAAATTCATCCCAAAGTGCTCTAGATATTGGAGAATGGGCATTAGTTTATGTGAAGTACTATCAATAACTCAATACATCACCAATCGAGGCGTAATTTGTTTGTCCTTTTCCAGATTTATCGTTATTCCGCCTCTATAACTGAAAAGAAGACTTTAAGTTGCAAAACGTAGGTGGCAATTAATTTTGCCAATATATCCGGAATTAGTGGCGGATAGGGCTCATTCATTCGAATCCATTTGGCTCAAACAATGAGAAATAATCACAATCCTCACACAACAACCACATAAACTTTGAAACATTGGATACTATATATAGAAGGTTTATGCCTCCTGCAATAATACATTGTCGCCTCCAATTCTCAATTACGGTAGCGTGAAGGTAAGAAATACAGTTCACCCTAAACGTTTGCTGCCTTGTCAAAACCTATTCGTTTTTGGTATTGGTGGGCACAAAGGCGAAAAAAGGTCTGTGTGCATTTGAAAGAATGGATTTATTTGGTAGGTATTGTAGAGGTCACTTGAGCAATCTCTCCATCGAGCGGTCTGAGCTGTTGAGATTATCAACAAGTAGATTCGAACATGACTCTTGAGCGCAATACCTGTATGACTCCAGAAGTTTTGAATTGTTGTTAGCATAACAAAATCCCAGGCCAGTATGAGCTACTTACTACATGTAATATCATTGTCATTAATCACCTCGTATAATTTGTGAAAGCAAGTATCGAACGTGAGAGGTTATGGCCATGGGACATTTGTTGGGGCAATGGGCCAAACACATGGGGCATTCAACAATCTGACATGGCGGACGACGAGGACGTCGTGGAGGTACCGTTCCCAGTGGTGTTCCAGTGCCGCGTGTGCCGAGCCATTGTCGCCGACTCGACGGCACTCTCGGCAAGTGACGTTGACCAGCGAACCATCACATTCTGCCGCGTGACCCATGTGCAACGAAGTCCGACGACAACTGCCGACTGTGGCAACTCGTTCCAACAGCTCTCGTGCACGCAGTGTGACGGTGTCCTGGGCAAGTTCTACATTGGAACGATCCGTGCCTTGGACAAGGTGCGCGACCTTTACACATTGGACGCATCTGCCCTCACCAATTACCGCATTGGCACTGTTGTCGACGACGCTGTGACGTCCCCACCACAAGACCACGTTCTTTTCGCAAATGACCCCACTGCAGCTGAAACTACATTAACAGTCGAGCAGTTTCGCTCTGACATGGACAAGGTGCGTCCATGCATCGCCGCATGTCCGTTTCAAGTCCTAGTAGGTCCAAAACTTTCTCCTGCTCGTCGATGAACGCTTAAGTGACATCGAGGATGCACTTCAACGGTGATCCATGACGCGTCCTCCCTCCTTTCGCCGGCGGCGCCGTCGTTCTCTCGAAGTTGTTCGCCCGCAATCCTCGCACGAAAGCTTCCGCGATCATCAATACACGCTGTGTGCGTGTCACGCCCAAAAGATTTTCCACCACCACACGAAAAATGAAAATTGCATTCGTTTTTCAAGTACTTTTATCAAGCATATATACCTTTCGTCCATCGACAGACCAATCAAACGAATTTCAGCGGAATTTTAGCCAATCGAAATAAAGAAGCAATTTTGGACACACCTTTGATTGCACAGCATGCAATTCCACCGTGTTATCCAAGGAACGGTGGTCCAACTACCACTTGGCCCGCAATTCGTTGGTGAAGAGCGAGACGAGATCGACCCATGCTTCCACGTGCGGGTGCTTCTTCAAGATGTCCTTGCCGACAACCTTGATACGTTCGAATGCGGCCGTGTCGTCCTTGGACGGCTTGGCGCCGTTCAAAAAGTTGCCTTGGTGGGCCTTCAAACGCGCCTCCAACGCGTCGAGAGAAAAGTCGGTCGAGGTGGCGGCCGACGTATGCGCGACCTTGGCGACTTGTTCGTCGGGCTTCATGGCAGGAAAGAGCAGCACTTCCTTGATGTTGAATTTGTTGGTCAAAAACATCGCAATGCGGTCGACGCCGCATCCCCAGCCACCGGTGGGGGGGAGACCGTACTCCATGGCCGTGCAGAATGCTTCGTCGTGGGGCTGGGCTTCGTCGTCGCCGTCGGCGGCTTGCTTGGCTTGCTCCGTGAAGCGTTCTCGTTGCACGCTAGACATCAATGGCCGTTCACATCCCGTTTGGTTTCACGGCACAAAGGTAGCCACCACGTACACGGGGTTGTTCAACTCGGTGTACGAGTTGCAAATTTCCGAGCCGGCGAAAAACATTTCGAATCGCTCTGTCATCCCAGGCAACGACCGATGGTACTTGGCCAGCGGCGACATTTCGGTCGGATGGTCCATGATGAAAAACGGCTTGACCCAGTTCGCCTACCACAATCGTGAGATGCGGCACACACAGCAGCCTCGAGCTATCGACAACCCATGTCGGCCGTCGGTGCCTACCTTGTTGTCTTCGATGAAGTGCGCGACGAGCTTGTCCAAGAGGCGAGCCAGCGAACGGGGCGGCGCACAGTCTAGACCGTACTTTTGGACGAGCCCTTCCAACACTTGGATGCACTGTTCAGGCTGGTCGATCGGGAGCTTGGTGTCTGTGATCTTTTCAATTTCCGCGACCATCGAAATGCGCTTGTACGGCGGGGTAAAGTCGATATCGATCGTTTCGTCGTCTTTCACAATCGTAATCGTGCTGCCGCCCGTGATTTCCGTCACCTGTCCCGTCATACTCCGTCAAATCACGTCGTCCAGTGCAAGGCACCACCCCAACTCATGCCACGGTCGCATTTTCCAATCCATTCGTCGAACGGCATTCACACCCGACGGCGGCCGACCGGCCGTAAAACAATCCAAACGCACCGACGTACCATGCCGTAAAACATTTGCTCCGTCATGTCCATCAAGTCGTTGTAGTCAGCGTATGCTTGGTAAAACTCGCAGCTGGTAAACTCGGGGTTGTGCGTCAAGTCGATGCCTTCGTTGCGGAATTGGCGGCCGATTTCGTACACGCGATCCAAGCCGCCGATGATGAGCTGCTTGAGGTACAATTCGGGCGCGACGCGCATGAACAAGTTCATGTGAAGGTCGTTGTGGTACGTCACAAACGGCTTGGCCGTGGCGCCGCCAGGAATCATGTTCATCATGGGGGTTTCGACCTCGACAAACTGGCGCGCATCCAAAAACTTGCGAATGTAGTTGATGATTTTGCTGCGGACGGTAAACACCTTGCGCGTCTCGTCATTCAAGATCAAGTCCAAGTATCGCTGGCGGAAGCGCGTGTCTTGGTTCGACAGGCCGTAATGCGCCTTGGGCAGCATGTGCATGCACGGAGACAGCAGCACAATTCGAGACGGAAAGATCGAGAGCTCGCCCTTCTTCGACTTGCCGGGGAAACCAGTCACACCGACCAAGTCCCCACGACGCAACGATGCGTGGATGCGGGCGTATTCGGCTGCGTCAGCGTACGCGTCGATTTGGGACATCACCTGGATCGACGCGCCGTCCGCGTTGAGGCCGTAGAAATGGAGCTTGGCGCCACTTGCGCGCTTGCTCATCAAGCGGCCGGCGACCGACACCACTGTGCCGTCCAAATGGCTGCCCGCTTCCACACCGTGGTACGTCTTGACAAAATCGGGGACCGAGATCGTCACGCTGAACTTGTGCGGGTACGGGTTCACGCCTTCGGCTTCGAGTTCGGCGAGGAGCTTCGTGCGGTTCTCAAAGTACGCCGTTGGGTCCAGCTCGTCGTCGCCATCACCACCTGCAGCAGAGGTGGCCTTCTTGGGACCAGCAGCAGTAGCGGCAGCGGCCTTGGCGGCTTCCTTTTCAGCCTTAGCTTGCGCTGCCTTTTCAAGCTTGAGCCGACGCTTGAGTTCGTTCTTGCTCAACTTTTCTTCACCTTCCACGGGGGCAGGAGGCGGCACAGCTGCAGCTGCAGTCGGAGATGTGGGAGCGGCGCGGTCAGCCATGCCAAGGCAGTCGATGAATAGTGGCCACCCTTGACGATAGGATGGGACGGCCGCCCGTGATTGGGCAGTTCCAATCCACCACAAGAATTCTGACCATATCCATGGAATATTTTTCGGACGATATACAAAAATAAAGATAAAACCCACCGTGATCGGCCGAAACAGCAGGTGTATGGCCGTTTGTGCAAAATGCATCTTGAGGTGGTCATGACGGTGCATGATGATGGCGAAGGTGGCGGGGATAGCTGGGGCTCCGTCCATGGTGCTGTTCAGTGGAGTGATATGCCTATAGATGTCGAGGGTCGCTGATGCCTTCGGCACGCATGCCTCAGAGTGTCCTGGAATAGACCAACCCACCACCCATGCACAAGGATACAAGCCGCCATGGATGTTAAAGCCGTCTGGAGTGCCCTCCAACAAGCTCGTCGGGGTTTGCATGCAAGCGAGTAAGGGGGCACACCGCCTGGTTCGCGGAGGTAGAGTGGACGTAGTGTCGACCGACGACGAAGTGACGTGCCCGGCCGCAACGCTGAAGATGCACTCGCTCCACGGCGCAATTCCCATGTTCCATGGACTGCTCTAGCTTTCTCGTGGGTGTGTCCATTCAAATCATGCTCACACAGTCTAAGTGTCGATAATGTTGTGGGTGGCAAAGACGTTGGTCGGGTCGATGGCGTTCTTAATGCCTGCGATCGCCCGCAGCGCCGGTGCCGACACGATTTGGGGCAACCATTTCTTGCGGTGCTTGCCGATGCCGTGGTGGTGGCTCAGCGACGCGCCGTGGCGCAGCATGACTTCCACGCACGCTTGCTCGATCGAGAAGAACAGGTGGAGCGGGTCGTCGACGCCAAAAAAGTTGACCCCGTAGTACACGTACACGCACGCGCCGGTGTCGTAGATCTGGCTCACGCGGCACATCACGATGGGCTGGACCTCAATGCGGTGGGCCACCGCGACCGCTTCGATCTCCTGCACCCGCCGCCGTCAGCCCATCGCGTCGTCGGGAATCGATTATGCAACAGCACGTACCGCGCGAACTCTGGCAATGAACGCTGGTACGTTGCTCCATGGCACGGCAGTCTCGAACGAGTCGCACAGGAAGTAGTAGCTCATGACAAAGTCCCGTATATACGCTACGTCAAGGGATGGGAGTCGATGGCCAATGCAGCACGAGCAGCCTCTCGACACAGTGTGCATACCGATGACGTAGGTAAGAAAATAGCCGCGCTTGCCATTCTCGGCGCCGCCGACCATCCCGCCATGCTTGGCGGCAATCGAATGAATGGCGCGCTGGTCGCGTTCCGCTTCTTCCTTGGTTCCTTCAAACAGCAGCGTCATCCCGACCATCGTGTCGACGTCAAATCCCTTGATCTAGGCATACATCAGTCGACGCGCGCGCCCACGTCCGCAATTAATTCTACCTTGGTCACAAACGCTTTGGTCGCGATCGACATGAGCGACGACATCCACGGGTTGGCCGCGGTGGGCTTCAACGCCTGGCCCAGTTGAAACTAGAGCAGCGTGTTGGCGCGCCATCTCGATCGAGTCGCCGGTCGAGCCGCCATACCTGCGTGTTGTCGAGGAGGCGAATGCTCGCCGGCATGCACCCCGCCCGCGCCACGTCGTGCATGGCTTGGATGCCATCGTCCATCGTCGGAAACAAAATCGAGTCGTACAATTGATACGCAGGACACGGCCGGATCCGAAACGTGACCCGCGTCACAACGCCAAACAGACCTTCCGACCCTGCACCGACATCTCTCAGCCATCCGTTCGCCACCACCACCCACACGCGGCGTGGCACACGCATGGGATCGCCATTGTCGCGCCGCGACGTACCGAGTGCCAAATGGAGCGAGTCGGGGCCCATCGAGACGCGCGGAACATTGCAAGACCGCGTCATGGTCCCGGTCGCAGTAACCATCGTGATGTTCACAATCATGTCCTCGATGTTGCCGTACAAGTTCTTCTTCATGCCGGACGCTCGCGTCGCTACCTGGAGATGCGTGAGATGCCGACACAAGCGGTTCGTCAAAACAAGTACCCAGCCACCGACGGTGGAGAACTCCCACGAGTCGGGCTCGTGGCCGAGGGTGACGCCGCGCGTCTGGAGCTGGTTGTGGACGTCGAGGCCCGTGATCCCGGCTTCGATGCACGCAGTCATGTTCTCCTTGTCCACCCACAGGATCTGCGTCATTCCGCGCATGTCCAGGGACACCACCATGCGCCGCTCGTCGGGCTTGCACTGCAGCGCGTTCGATACACTAGCGTGCCAGTCGCATGCGAGTTGAGTCGACGTCGTGGCGAATGCAGTAAACGAATACACGTACTTGGTGCCGCCGCCATACGGAATGACCACGACGTCGTGCTTGACCGCCGCGGCCACGACGTGCTCGACGAGCTCGTGCGATGTTGCGACGATCACGGCATCGGGCACCCGGTCAAAGCACGCACTCGTGCGCAGACGATAGATTTCCTACGGCAAGGAGTTTGAGTGCCCGATGAAAACACGGACGAATGTAGTGGCTGTTCGTACTCCGCACGTCTGGCCGTGCGAGTGTCGGACCCGAGTGACAGGGTCTATGTTCACAGGGATGCGCAACGCGACCAAGGCTTCGAGAAACGCGGCGTTGTACACTTCACTGCCTTCCTTGATGGACGGCGGTACGGCATTTCGTGGGGCCTGAAGCATGGATCCATTTCCCCAAACACGATCGATCGATTCGTGACAGGTACCTGTCGACGCACGTCCAACCCAACTTTCGCCTCGGCCCATGCGCGCAGCGCAGGCAGCACGCGAGCTGCCGGAAACACCTCTTCATATCTACGTCCCCATTTCGTTATACCGCAAAACGTGGCAGTTGCTCGATCGGTGCACCTCGTGCCTGCAAACTCGACTTGGCCGTCGTCGTTCAAGAAGATGCTAGTATCGCTGTATCCCCATCCATCCCATCGAGCTTCGTTCAACGAAGTCGAGGATGACGCAGTAGCGGCTGGCTGTCCATCTCCCAATTGGGATAGCAGCGTCTCGAGGCGCGCCGTCGACTGCGGCGCCGCGGTGTCGTCTTTCTCGGCCATCACAGAAGGGTATGTCCTGCGTGTAATTTCAACAATACGACGTTTTTTATTATTTTCAAATATTTTATCTCAATATATGTCCCATTGATGAAAATAGTATTTTTTTAATGTTACGTTGATTGATACCCACAGTCTCCAGAATGAAGAGCAGTCGAAGCGCGCGTCGGATGCTCGAGACCCCGACGCTTCCACGGCGTAGAGGACGGCTTCAACTACATCGCTGTCATGGCGATCGCACTGCTCAAAGCACCGTAGTCCATAGACGTTCTGTGCATGGTTCCCTCGACCGGGAGCGTTCACGTACACGGGACCACACCATCAAGTCGTCATTTCTATGGCGAGCTGGCTTGGCGTGCGCGGCATTACCGCATACTTTTGCTGTGCAAACATCATCGCTCATGCACTCTTGATTCGCTCCTGATGCGGACGAACTCAGCTTCCGTGTGCATTCAACGCTTTGTCGTTCTGCGAATCAACCACATCGTCAGTCATCTCCGCAGCGCCCGATAGAGCAGGTCAAAGGCATCCGAATAACGATTGAATACGCAATGGGTAAGACCTACGCACGGTCAGTGTGAACTTGGAATCGAAACGTCGAGTATGCCAACAAGGCTATAGTCGCCATCTTTTGCCGAGAAGAACGAGCGCAGTAGCAGAACATGGTCGTCGTCAGCATCACTTTGGTCTAACTGCTTGGTGGATGAAGTAGTCGCGATGGCCATCACAGCCACCGCGACTGCGTGGCGCTTTCGTCGAACGACCGTCGTCAGGACGAGCACGAGCGCGACGACGCTGATGAGGACGACAGGGTAGAGATATTGCGGGCCAAAAAAGTTGGGCGATTTGGTGTCGATGGATTTCGCGCCGACAAATTTGGTACACCGGGGGCCGCCATACCCTTTGACGCAGAAGCACCGGCGTTCCGCACACCGGCCGCTCGGAACCGTGGTGCCGATGGCGAGGCAGTCGTCGTCCGAGTTGCAAGTCGCGCCGCCGTCGACGCGGGTCATGGGGTTCTTCGCATCCGTGTAGTCCTTGAGATGCTCGTCGATCCACTGCTTGGTCGGGTGAGTCGGCGGGTCGCACCCCAGCGTCATCGCGGACACGTCTTGGTAGATGCGGATGTAGTCGACCTCCATGTACATGGGGAACGAGTCGCAAATGTTGTGCGTCTTGTTGTATGCTTCCGAGCCTGGCGCAGGGTGCGTCGCGTTCCTGCGGCAGGGGCCGATGCCAACGTTGGGCGGAGTGGCACCTAGAATGGTCCCGTCACGACCGACGCAGTCGAGCAGTCGAGCAGCACGCGTACCCCATGCTTTCGCGAACGCAACGTTGAAAATGATGTACATGGGCTCTTCAATCATGAGCTTCTTGGGATTACGGACAGCCCTTTGTTCTGCGCCGCTTTCACCAGCACGCACGCCAGGCACATGAGAGTCCAGGTCCTTCCGATGCAGCCAAGGACACTGGCAAAAGCCCCACGGCCCATCATCTCCCCCGACGCGTGCTGCGGCTAATGGGGGACGCCGAACCGTCAATGCCATACAGGCCATCCCGACACTAACATACGAGCCTCGTCGCCTTGAAGGACATCCTGATCGTCCGCGGACGCTGGCACGATGAGCAAATACTGCGCGATTGCCGCAGTTGATCGCGCGCGTCACTACAGCGCCGGCAACATCCAAGCGTGACTCTATGTCGCGCCACGGGCTGGGTTGTGTGAGACGCTGCTGTTTGACATATTTCATTTTTGTCCAATGGCATTCGTCCATTTCGAAAACCAGCCAATCAAACGCATTTCGGTTTCATTTTCCATCCAATCAAACGTTCACGTTGATGGCATCGGCGACGTTTGCGACCGCCGCCGCATGTTGCTGCCATCGACGCTGGCTTGGAACGACGACTTGCGGCGCTGCTCGACGGCGAGCTTGTTGTTCCCATCTCGAGGCAAAAACAATGCTTGGCCGTTGGTAAAGTTGGCCATGATAAACGCGACGCTGGACAAGCCGACGACGTCTACATCGATCACTGTCTTTGGCGGCGGCGCGCGCGTCGGCGACATAGGGCACTACATGAACTGTTATGTCAACGGCACGTAATGCACGACTCGAGAAGTTTCGTTGCCAAGGCAGTACGACGTACGTCTGGGTACTGATGGAGGAGGCTCTTGATCTGAACGTCGTTACGGCCAACCTTGACCAAATCTGCGTGCCGAACGCTCGCGTCCACGGATTGGATCTGCGACTGCATGAGCTTAAAGAGCCGCTCGTCTGCCTCGCGGTCGAGGCGGTCGAATACGCTGTTGGGTTGGCCTTTATCGAGCTTGGCCGCTATTTCCTTGGACTTGCGATTGATTGCCGGCTGGAACGTAAAGTCTACTACTACCAATGAAAGAATTCACACAGCATGAGCACGCCAGCAGCATGATATCGTCAAGGTATTCCAAACGGCTCAAGTGTTGGCGGGATGTACCTGGCGGTGGGGCCGACACTTTGGCTTCCTTCCCCGTGCGACCGCTCTGAACCATTGCCTTGTAGATCTATCATGCGTGCCCTTGGAATGTTAGACCATGGTCAAGCAGTTCGTGTGGGCGAACCTTTTTCGATTGAGGGTTTATGCGCGGTGAAAACGTGGCTTCGGCGTCCTCGACCGCTCTCAGCGCGACAGACCGTTCTACCTGGCGAATGTACTTGGTGTCGCCCTAGAAAACGGGTGGTCGTCAGCACCCCAGCCGTTTGTCTGCACGCGGCGCTGCATGGCAACACTCACATATGCCAGCATGTCATCGACGGATCGCCGCATCGCGTGGGTCTTTTTTTGAATCTTGAACGACTTGTTGGTTGACGCGCAGATCTCCATGAAGCGGGTACACGCGACTGTGTGTTCTGGTTCGTGGTGCGGCGACGACGTAGATGACGACGACAGGCCCCCCTGGCCACACAAACACGGCGTTTTGATGTCTGGTACCGGCCGCAGTGCTTGCGCCTCCTGTCGACCATGGAACTTTAGTTGCCTGGTTTTGATGGGAGGATGGGGCTGGTCACCTTAAGGCGGCGCTGCTCGCGCTCGGCTGCCACGTGGTTGTCTCTAAGTCCATGGGCGGCGCGGGTAATTTGGAACACTGTCCTGGCGCCATCCTACCGCCACGCGACTGTGTTGCGCTGCCGCTCGTGGAAGCTTGGAAACTGAGCGGCCATCCGCTGGCTCTTGGCATCGATTTGCGGTCGAAACGACAGCTCCTTTGTCGCTTCGTCCTCCAAACTCGCCTGTGCCCACACACAAGTCTCGATGAACGACGCCAGCACATTCTTGCCATCGATTCATTTCTCCAACATGCAGGTCGACAACGTACTCGCTTCGATGCTAGCTTGGACTGCGTCCTCGCTTTGGCCGACTCGAAGCGCTGCAGCGTGGATTTCCACGCGACTGCCGACACTTTTGGTGGGTTTCGCTGCGACTTGTCAAAACCTATGCCATCAAGACTTTATGCAGCACCTCTCGAGCGCAGTTCACATACCCAAGGGGTACACGGGAGGTGGCGGGTGCTGCGACTGTCCGAGGCACTTTTTCAGCTGCTGCACCAACGGATGCCACTCGGCGCGTCGTTGCTGCTGGGCCTGCTTCAGCGGTGACGTGGCTGCCGCCTCCCGCTGGAGAAGCAGTCGCAGCCGGCTCACCAAGTCCATCTCGAACGACTTTTCATCGCCACAAGGCCCAGTGCCACCGGTTGTGAATGCATCAACGGATGGAGATGTCGGCGAGGACGCGGCAAGCGCGGCGGGCGCTACCTCGTCGACACTCTGCATTCGCAATTATGAAACAGTTGTAACGGCCGGTTACACAGGCGAAATCCAGAAAGACATAGTTTTCTCGTGTATAAGCTCATTGCATGGTGCACAAAGCGCTTGGTACTTGGTACTTGCTCGCCGCCGCTTTCATAGTGTGTGCTCGTGCGCTACATTGGGCTGACTTCAGGGCCATGTGGCGCCAGCTACGGCCAGACTCGCCAGCCCTAGCCAACCACTCCAAATCGCGCTAAAGCTCGCCATTCCTCCCGATGGCTGGGCCAGCGAAGGCAGTCCGTGAACATCTACTGCATTCGATACGTTTGGCTCGACGCGGGGAGCGGGTGCTAGCGTTGGCACGCTCAGGGTCGGGAAGTGATATCCTGGCGGAGCCTTCACGCACGCGGCGTCTGGCCCACCACACACTTGACACACTTGTGCCAGCAAGTGGCGCTTACACCCAAAAGGCGCGTCAGCGCACTGCTTGGCATTGACGTAGCACGGAGGATTGTGCAGCGCCGCCACGGCCGGCAACGCGCGCATATGCTCCGCCCCTATTGTTCCGATTCTCGCGTTGTACATGTCAACCACTGCCTCGGCTCGCTTTCGGTTGGCATCGGGGTTGTATGGCTCGCTCCAGAATGGCAACGACGTCACCGCCTTGTTGTCGTACACGCCGTCAGGGGCCTTGAACTCGACGCCTACACATCGCATGACGATATCACCCTGAGTAACTCGGTGTACCTTGGTACTGCCCGCGCGTATCCTTGCAAAACTCAAAATACGACGAGTACGGCTGCCGCGTGAGGCTGTGCGTGAGATTCGTAATGCCCACGAGGTCGTCGAGGCGCAGGAAGCCCAAAACGGTGTACGCAAACGTGCAGTTGATGCCGTTCGGGGCCACTCCAAATGGACAAAGTCCTGCACGAAAGGCGTTCCGGCACACCGGTGTCTTGCTGGCCCACGGCTGCATGACACAGCTACATCCGAGACCTCGTCAGCGCATCTATCAAAATTCGATGGAGAGGGGGACGGGTATGCACCTGTTTGGATAGGAAAACCATATCGTGTTCGGGTACGGCGCCCGCGGGTCCTCGCTCCGCGTCCCGGCACCGACGTACGGCCCCACGGCCGGAAGCGTAGCCGATCCAAACATCCGAATGCAGTCGTCGGGGAGCACCGTCGCGTGAGCCACGACCGATGTGCACATGCCACCGTCCATGGCGACGAATGGCCCGTACTCGGGGACTACCACCAACCGTGTTTGGATCGGCCTGCCGACATGACATAGACAATCGTACCGAGATTCCCGTCGGTTTGAAACACGGCGAGGGCCGTCGTCGGCTGGACCAGCGTGATTTCGTACAGCACGATGAACTGCATGTTGTTTTTGCGCTCACATGACGCTGGATTGAGCATGTGTTGGTTGATCCCTTCGCTTTGAACATACTTGAGGACTCCCTCGACGGACGCCAGGTTGACCGTGTCGAGAGTCGCCGCATATCGGTCGTCAAACGTCGTCCCGACAGACGACACAAACACACGATGAATCGTGTCCCACACAGGTTTATCGCGCTGGACGCGAGCTTGGATCGACACCACGCGGCTCATTTGCCACTCCATGGCGTTGAGCGGCGACAGCGCGGCCGCTGTCCATCGCCACATTTGCATATTTCCTCACGTGTGAAACGCGCTTCTTCGACCAGTTCAATTCCGCACTGCCGACACCGTGCATGGCTCGTCCTCCGCGACAGCTCTCTTGAAAGGTCGTCGGTGATGGGCTGCGGCTTGGTTGTCCCGTCGCTCGTGGTCCGGCACTCAGCGAGACAGGTAGACGGGACATGAAACGGCAGAAACCACCATCCATCCTCGCGATGCCGTCCCCGAGCAAGGTGCGGTCGGCGCCGCCGCCGTCGACGCGAGAGCCTGCCATCGTTGTGCTCGACATAAAAAAAGTGGTGCGTGCCACGCCATCGCGGCGAATCGCCCGCGACGTCCTTCCACGAGGAATGGCTGAACAGGCCACTTGTCCTCGTCGTGTTTAGGCATACTCGACAGTGCCAACTCCAAACGAGGTCGCGTTGTCGCAAGAGCTTTTGGACTTACAGGCCGACCGAGACGTGATTGAAAAGCGCTTCGAAGACCGCATTCTCGACCTCGAAGCACAGCTCACAGCGTACGTTTGGCTGCCCCACGACCATGACATTCCACGACTACCTGGCGACCTCTTGCGAATCTCCTCACGCCGCTTACGTCATAGAGCTCACCTTCGAGAGACGGAGCTGCTGGCCCGCGAGCAGCGCAGTCACATTGACCAGATTCAGCAACAGCAAGCGGCCGTGCTGGAGGAGCGGGCTCTGTGGACGAAGCGCCTCGAGACGATGACAGCTCAGTTGGCGAAGCTCCAGCATGACCAGGAAACGCAAAAGCAGTGGCACGAACGGTTAGCACCGCTCGATTCCTGCCACAATGTTTTCCCACTCGCCCCGCGACGGTTGTGTAGATTCCACCTACACGCATGCTCGCCGTCGATCCATCCATTGGCCGACGACGTGTTTGCGCGGTTTGGTCAGAGCATCGCGCTGCTCCCAACGACCGAATCCCCTCACGTCGTTCGCGCCGGCTGCCTCGACTTTTTGGCCAGCATTTTGCGGGAAACCACGACGGACGCGGTGTTGGGCCCTGTCCTGATCGGCCTCGTCCACGTCTCCATCTACGCGTCCCCCGGGACCACGCCATCCCCTCTGCGCCACGAAATTGTTAAAGCAGGGACGCTGCCCCCCCTCGTCCACATCTGTGACGTTGTGACCAACCCTGCGATTCTCACCGAGGCGGCGCGGCTACTGGCGTCCCTCGCGGCCTCGCCATGGAACAAAACGGCCATGGCAGCCAAGCACGTCGTTCGCACACTGGCCAAGCTCCTGACAACGTACGAGTCGACTCCAGACAAATATGCTTCGGTGTTGGAGTTTGCACTCGTCGCGCTCTCCAATCTGGCCCATGGTCCGACGCCTCTCGTGGCGGTCTTGTCGACTCACCGTGTTGAGCGTGGCATGTAGATTCCGACGTGCTGCGGACGCAAGTCGCCCAGTCTGGCGCCGTTGCGTGCATCTCGAGGTTACTGGCCGATGTCCCGACCTTGTCGGTGCGAGTCGCCGCCGCGCACACCCTCGCCAATGTCGGATTCGCCGGTGCGACGAACCAGGGCGCTGTGTTCATGGCGCAAGGTGACATGGAGCTGATCAAGCAGCTTGTCGCGACAGCAAAGGGAGTGCCGTCCGGTGGTGTGGCGAGTGCTAGTCCGCCGTCGGCTCGCTGTGCATCGTCCGCCAACCAACCACCACCAAGACTACGTCGGGCAATCGACATGGACGTCTTGCAGCACAGTGCGCGGGGCCTCGCCAACTTGGCGTCGACAAAAGTGAACCAGATTTCGATCGGGTACAGCGAAGCGATACCGACGATGCTGCAGTTGCTCGTCGACTGCCGAGACGCCCCCGTTCTTGCGGCCTGCGGCCTGGCAATTGCAAGTTTATGCCACCAGTGCAAAGTCAACAAAGTCCGCGTCGCTGGGCAAAACGGGCTCGCCGTCCTGCTCTACGTCCTCGGAACGCCCGACCGCTTCCACCACGACGCCGCCGTCCTGGTCGCGGTGTGTCTGGCGATTGCGTCCGTCGTAACGTTGGACGCCAACCTCCGACTTCTCGAGGACATGGGCGGCCACGATCCGCTGCTCGCGCTGTGCGAGACAACCACCGACCTCCAAGTCCTCGACGCGAGCGGTCGTGCGATTGCCGCGATGGCCCCGACGTTAGAATACAAGTACAACACGCTCCAGCAGGGCAAACCGTTCGTGGTCCAGGACAAAGGCGGCCTTGCAGCGCTCGAGCGCGTCGCGACGGTTGTGTACGCCGCCAAGGACCTGCCCTCGTGGCTCGACCACGCGCTCGACGTGCTTCGAATGACTCCAAGTACCGTTTGAATTCGCACGATTTCTCTCATGACTGCGAACGGGCCGCATGACACCATCTCTGACGTAGAGCAACTCGCAGCGACGATGGCGACGGTTCCCGTCCACGACATCACCAACCCAAAATCCGACGAAGGCGACAGCGTGTGGGACGAAGTGTTCACCCGCGACGCTGTGGCCGTCGAGTCGCTCGTGCCGGTCGCTCCCGACGACCTCTGCACCTCCTTTTATGCCGTCGAGCGAGGCGAGTCTGGCTAAGATCGCGAATGCAGCACATGCGTCCTTCTTAATCGTCGTCGATGTCCTTGGGGCCATGACCAGACTGTCGAGTCCATTCAGTTCGACCGTGTTGGCGAGGGAGGATCGAGGGGCATCGCAACTCGAAACACACACAACGTTCCCAAGCAAATGTGGCATTATATTCGACCTTACGACTGCTACAGAGGCGCCTACAAGACGTCACCATCGTCGTCTCTGTGGGTAACCTTTAGTCGTTTATTAATGTCCTGCTGCTGCTGCTCTTGCTCATCACTTCTACCGCGATCGGCGCCCCACGTGGTTGTCCCGTTGTCGTCCACCTCCAGACAGTGTGAGGACGACAGCACCACGGCGACAACAACAACGTGCGTACCTGGGACATCGAGCGCTTGCCCATGACAACGACGGGGCTGCCGGGCGCGAGCTGGGACGGCAGGATGCCCTCCGACTTGGACGACGCAACTGCGCTGTCGTAGCAATACTTGTGAAAAATCGTGTGCTTCGGGACCACGTCGTTTGTGCGAATCGTGCCGACGACAGCATTTTGGTACATCCACTCTTCTTCGTCTTCGTCCCAGCATTTCGTAAACGATTCGCTAAGCACAGTGTCAGCATGTGAAATCGAGTCGGGCCGTCAGCGAATGGTTCAACACACGTTGTCCACATGCCGCAAGCAATGCCCAACAAACCAAACAACCCATGGGAGAGGCCATGGCGGCACGTACCCGCAAATGCGGCACTTGGTGATCGATCCATCCACAGGGACTCGGGCGGCATTGAGTGCTTCCTTGTCCAGTTCTACAACGACACGGTTCAGATCCGGTCTGTGCGTCGCCAGGACGATCGAAACGCTGCCTCGACAATCCGATCGATGGGACCCACCTGGGACTGCAGTCTTGGCTTCGGCCTGGACAAACCCGGCGCTGGTTTCTTCTTTCGAGTTGGAGACGGCGCAGAAATCGGTCGTCCATTGCTACCGTGTCCTCTGGTTATATCCAACTGAATCGACGGCATCTCAACGTACTGCTTCATTCGGGTACCACGACCGGGAGATCCCGCCTTTCGTGCGTTCTCGCAGCGCGCGGTTGTAGTGGAATAAAAAGTCCATGTGCTTCGACAACTACAAGATCGACGGGGACACATGAGGTGCAGAGCAACGGGCCACGCGAGCAACAACGGTCGAACCTGGGCTTGGTCTTTGAAGCGCAAGCCACTGCTGGACGATACATGGGGAAGCGCGTCGTAGAGTCGATACACGTTGTCACCGATGCGCTTCTTGTTGACGGCAATGTCGGAGCAGGTCAAAGGCCGACCCAGCGACGCCGACGACACTTGGTGCTGATATCGTCGCGAGGACGTCGGCGGTGCTTCTGTCGACGACGACATGGCGCTGATCTTTTTGAGCAAATTCATCACGTCTTGGCCACTGGGAGCTGTCGCAGGTGGCTGGTTAGGTCCGGATGGGTGCATCGGCGGCTGCGATGGCGGCATCGAGTGATGCGGAGGCGGGGACCAACGGCGAGAAGATACTGGGGGTGGAGGACCTTGGGAGCGCACAGGAGCGTAGTGCGAAGGAGGTGCCCCTCCTCGATGGGCAGAAGGAGGTGGCAACAATCCACCTTCATGTGGTGGAGCATCTGGATAAGGCGAGGGACGATGGGCTGGACGTTGGTGGTGGTGAGGCCGAGGGGGACTCCGCGATGGAAGCGGCAGCACACCGTTTGACACACCTTGGTGGGGACGTGGTTGCAGTGGATAGTTTTGTGGGGGTGGTCGATGGCCGAGTACGGGAGGGGGGCCGTGATGCGCTGGAGGTACCTCTGCCTCGACAACGCTGAGGCGGAGGTGTGCGTACAATTCCGGGTTTTGCGTGCGCACTTCTTCGAGACTGACCTGCTTCGCGGGGTGCACGCCATCTTCAGTCTGAAGTTGAGTCAAGAGGCGTCGCATCTGCAGTTCCAAATGTGCATCGCTGGAACGGGGAGGGACTCCACGCGATGCGGGTGGTGCACCACCTCGCGAGAAGCTCGCGGGTTGGTCAGAAGGCTGGGCCACGCGTAGAGCTGCGTCGGCAGCCGCACGCATCTTCAAGAGCACCGCCGAAGGAAGCAGCCGCGCCGTCTCCCATGTTTTGAGGACGTGATTGAACCGATTCAAGTCTGTCGCATTCACCTGTCGGACAGAATCGACGTACACTGGCGCGAGTGTCTGGCTGAAGAGGAATGCGTAAGGACCTCCGACATTCTTGATAATCGAATCCATGAGGTACAAGATGGGAAGGCGGTAGGGAGGTCCAACGACATTGAGTTTCTTTACGAGAAAGGGTGCGATATGTTTCGCCAGCGCTAGGTCCTCCGCCAGCATCGTGAGAGTGTTGATGATGGGCTTAGCAGGATACGCCCCCATCTCATTGATCATGCCGTCATACTGCTTTAACGTATTCACGATCTTGTCTCCCATCGCGCGGCGCGGCCTTCGTCCTGGGTGGCTGGAGTGCAAGGTATATTTAGCCCGAGGGAGCGAGACATAATATTGTAGGGGTTTCTGTGCGACCTACATTCCGCAAATATCAAGTCGCATAGGTCTTGACATAGAGACAATCCAGTGTCGAAGGGTATTTGAATATAGAGTTTTCACATAGCCGCCGAGTTAATCAATCCTTCTCGCAAGGTCACAACACACATTCTCCTCATGCCAGCGAGCAACTCGACAGCACAGGCAATGGGGATGCGCATGACACGCCAGTAGCGATGAAACAAACGATCCACCACACACATTTTGCAAGCCGCTGATGCCCGAGCCTGCGCCGGGAAGTCTTTTGCTTGACTTCGCGTGCTGTTTCCTTGGACAGGCCCGAATGTGTGGTTTTGTGCTTGCGAGAGGGATTCCCACTTCTTGCATACAAAAAGGAAGATATTTTGGAAATATATAAAACATGATAGAGACGCGACGTCATGGTTGCTTTGGTTCACACGTCTGGATGAGCATCGCCTCAGGATGCAACTCAAAACGTTGGTAAGGCACGTTGCGTTGTAGATCGTGTGGATGTTTACATCGTGCGCTTGTAAATCTTGCTGAGGAGCATGTGGTACACGGTCGTGGGCATGTTGGTGACGCCGTTGATGAGCTTGCACAACTCGTCGTAGCTGTCGTTCTCGTACGCGCGGTAGACGGCTTCCAAGTCCAACTGGACGTACAAGTCCTTGATAATTTGGATCGACGCTTCGTTGTTCTTGCCGTAGTGTTCCTTGATGATCGCGCGCTGAGCTTCCGTCCCACGCGAGAGGGCTTGGACGACCAACCAGCTGCACTTGTTGTCTTGGATGTCCGTGCCAATCTGCCACCAACGAGTTCACGTCATACGTCACGCGTGCCGATAGCGGGACTGTACCTTGCCGAGGACCTTGGGGTCGGCATAGCAATCCAAGTAGTCGTCTTGGACTTGAAAGTACTCGCCAATCTTGACGCAAATGTCTTGGCATTGCGAGTAGCACGCGGGGTCTGTCACGCCGCTGGAAACATGTTTTAGAATATAGGTGGAGTGTCGAGTTTAAGAAAATGCTTGAAGAAAATACACGCGACAACACAAAATGTGGGTGCGGCGGAATCGCAAGATGCACCTGGTTGGAGATGAGACACCGACCTGATGTGCATGGCGCAGGCGGCAGAGAGGTAGAACGTGTAGTAAGCAGTCTTGAAGACGACGATCTTTTGGTGACTGGCCATGACGACATCACAGTCAGAACACAACGGCCAGAGTGGGCGGAACAAACCGTTCGATGGTGAAGCGGTCCAGGTTAGTCGGGCCGTCCAGCGGCTGGGACGTCAAGTCGAGGAGCTGACCGAATTCGGTTTGCAAAATCACTTCTTGGAACAACTCGACCAAGTCAATGTAGTACGTCTCGCTGCGAAAGTGCGTCCTCAAGATGGAATACACGAACGATTCCAACAAGAACGCGTCGTTGATTGCGATTTGCTTCACCTACAAACAGGCCCTTGTGAGAAAGGAAGGATAGGTTTTAGATGATACACGTACCTTGGGAACGCGGAACCAGCAAGGTTGGCCACGGCGGGTGATGGATTCGTCCATCACGTCGTCGGCAACTAGGAAAAAGGCTTGGAGCTACGAAAATATGTTTCATCAATACCAAGTAGACTAGTTGGAATGGAGAATATGTACCCATTCGATGCACCAACCCAAAATCGCAGCCTTCTTGCGGGCTTCAGGGGTCAAGCCCTTGCCCTGTGTGAGCGCCTCGGCACTACAATTCACATGTTCGTGATGCTCTGGTTCCAACAATACCTTGCCGTTGAGCAATTTACCAACCAGTGGATAACACTGATGCCGCGGTTCATCTTGCCGCCAATGCAGTTGTAATCAATCATCTACGCCAACCCATTCGTCATGCGTCGGGCGTTCGAAGCAAATGATGTCATCTGTCTCCCGTACGTCATTGACCCATTCAACTGCTTCTGTGGGCATGGTGTACTTTTTCGTCATGACGTTCAAGACCTCGCGCTTGAGTTCGTGACAGATCTCCACAAACTCTACATGCACAGGATTATCAGCACGCATCCGCCATGATGGTCGCCGTGGATGCACCTTGGATTTCTTGCTCCTTGGTCATGCCGTTCGCCATCGTTGCTTGCAAGAGTTGCGCCGCCGCCGATTCAAAAAATGAAGTGACACGTTGGCTGGCGCAGTTCCCAATTGGTATTTCAGCCAATCAGATCGACGAAAGCTCTCGTGACGTCGACATCCCTCGATTGAAGAGCACACCACGTTACAAGAACCTGAGGGACGGATGCTGCATGTGGCCCACCCGACAGCCCCATCCTCACCATGGTGAACGAGGATTTTGAAGAATTTGTTGTGAAATATATCGAAAAACGTGGGAATTTTCACGATTTGGCAGTTGAGACCACCGTGATACAGCATACAAATACTTGGTTGAATATTGTATTTTTTCGAACGAGATGTTCCGAGTGCATGAGCGAGACGGGGAGGTGGCGCCGCAGGTAGGTCGCGGCGTCGATCACCGGTACAAGTGAATGGGGAAGTTCTCGGTAAGCATGTACCCGTCGTCAAAGAGGACGACGACGTTCACTTCAAACTGGACCTTGAAGGCTGCACACAGAAGTGTGAACTTGGGTAGTTCTCCCGTGCTGGAGAAGGTGGTTGTTGTACCTGGTGTGAGCATGGAAGGACATGTAAAGAGGCGGGGAAAGATCATGTAGAGAGGAATGGACACCTGGCGAGCAACGTCGCCCCATCCGACTTGAACGTTTTGGATCTCCGTGGCTAGCACATCGCATTCATTATCACACGCACAGTCAACAGGAGGAAGGCATGTCGCATCGTGGTCATACCATCACGCGCAATGCCTTCCGCATGCGCTACATGCATAATGTCAACAACTACGTTCAGGATATGGATCGGCTCGGACGTACTGACGCTTTCAACTCGGATGAGCTGCAATTCGATGCTCTTCAGCGGGGCTGACGCAGATTCCACGACGATCTACACGTTCGGTAATGAGCATGGTTTGCCGTGGAGAAGTGCACGTACCTCGCCGGTGAATGGGAGGTTGACAGGGCAATTTGTCCTGTGGATATTTCCCTTGATGCGGAATGATGGGATGTTGCCCCGAGGTGTCGTCTGTATGTCAGATCGAGCTGTGATGTGATCGTGAATCCTTGACATGACGTACCAAGCGAACATTTTCCAGCTTGTCAGGGGTGATGCTGAATGATTCAGGCGCGTCCGGGAGCGCGTTTTGCAGCGGCACTTCCACGATAAACTCCAGGGTACGATGGAGGGTTTTCTTCATTATCCCACGTGCGCAGTCGCAAATGATCTCGTACTTGACACTCACGTAGACGCCATGGTACGTCTCGACAAGCCCTTGCTTTGCGTCCACGGCATGGAGTTCGAATTCAAACGGAAACTTGGAAATGCCCACCGGTACCTTGCCGGGGCCAACAACCGGGATGTGAAAGTACACGAGTTCCAGAGGGGACACGGTGTTGTAAAACGCGTCAAAGAGACCGACGCTCTTCGCGCTCAATTGGAGCTTCGCGCTTCCTTCCACCCTCATGCTGATTCCCGAGTGGCTGAACGCGTTCGTTGCATGCACGATTACATGCCCTTGTACGATTTCCTACGGATCTGCACCGTCATGCCAATGCCGCCTCCTTTCGGCCTACGTACATGGGGCCGGAAGACGCGGTCAACGCGGGATAGCTTGATGTCCAACGTCGACATGGGCAAAAAGATACACTGGGTGTATCATATTTCACAGGTTGACGAGAGTATTAAGTGTCAAAAGAAAAGTCGAAGAGACACGTTCTTCTTCGTGGCAAGAGGCACTGAATCGCATCCGCGCCGTTGACACGGTCCGTCTTCATGCTCCTGTCCCGTCCCCGCGTTCTCTCATTGCGCGCGTGTAGACGACCAACTTGCTTGCTAGCTACGGCGTGTGTGTTGGAACGCCCGTCCATGCGCACGAGCGTGTACTGCTGCTCATTCGTTGTCGGCAATTAATTGGTCCTCATACGTCCTGGCAAACTTAGCGCGAAACAACAACATGCGGTGACGAGCCCCACGGACGGAACCAGTGATACGAACGACGAAGACATGAATAGCGCTCCAAAAACATACCCAGGTACGTTCGATTCCCTTCCGACACAATCAGCGGATGTTGTGTAGATCTCATCGACAATGACGAGGGCAGGACGCACGACAACGATCCACATCATGATCGCCGCATCGACGACGAACAAGTGTCGTTCAAAATGCGTCTGTGGGACTACTTGCTGCGAAATGTGCACAGGTGCCGTTCTGATGAATCCATCTCCATTCGTCATGTCCCCCCTGCCAACCCAGCGCGGTGGACGAACTGTACTGCATGTGCGAGCTCGAAAGCAGTATGTCTCGGTGCGAGGACGCCGCGCGCGTAGTGCAATCATGTCATGACGACTTTATCAAGGTGCGATCGACATTTGTTTGGAGTACTCTCGTTGATGCTTCATCTAGCTGATGGAGTGCATTCGCATGCAATCGTCGGTATCGTCGAAGTCGTCGTTGGCATGGGAAGTCAAGAAAGGCCATCGATCCCACGTCGTAAAGCCAACGAACGTCGTCGTCCAAGCTCTCGAGCGCATTGCCAAGACGAAATCGCCCCCTCCACACGATCGATCCCTCTTGGATTCTCCGATTCACTCCACTGGCAAGCAAAACGTCCCTCGGTGAGTAGGCATCTTGATTTACAGCCATTCTCATCAACGTTTCGACTGTAGAGCAGCATCATGTCCAAGCCCGTCCATCTTGGCTGCGGCAAACTCTGACGCCTCCACACAGCAACTCACGCCGCGCCATCAAAAGCTCAGTCTTCCACGTAAACCGAAGCGATCTCCGTCCGAAACCAAGCTTCTATCGGAGCAACGGCTCGACACAGTCACCGCCAACAAACACGCGATCGAGTCCGCCAGGGTCGGTTCACATTAGAGCATCGTCCAGCACATCCTTCCATCTCTGACTTCAATCCTGTGTGGTTGGTTGCGCCAGTTGTCTCGCATCCGTTTAGCAGCCGAGCGCATGCAGCACGTCACGTCCCGGAACGCGTCGTCGCGCCAGAAACAAGAGGTGCGCTGCACAGCAACTCGGCTGACGTTGACAGGGGCGTGGCGACTAGGACATGATGTGGGCCAAGCTCGCCCGGGCGGACCGCCTCAAGCAAGCGCACTTGAGATGGATCGTGAGTAAAGCTGGGTCGGAAAACACCAAAGTCGACGAAATCAACTTTATTCAAACTCTTATGCACCAAGACCGGAAAATGGAGGTACGTTGCCGCATACGACGATGCAAGTTGTTGGCGAGATATCGAGCGACGAAGAGAACGTGGAGAACATCATGCTCGCCTCCAAATAGTTGCAACAGCGGCTGGACCACGTCGCCGTGCGCCGTGCAAACCTTCTGCGCCAAATTCAAGACAAGGCCATGCTCAAGGTACGATCGCAGTCGATCGGTTGTGGCTCGTCGAGTTGGTTCTGTTCCGATCGTAGTCGGGCCTTGACGTGGCTTTCGAACGTGCGTAGGCCGAGAGCATCCGAGCTGCAGCAAAGGCAAAAGAGGAGAAGCTCGAGCTGCGAGTGTCGCAGATTCAAAAGCGCCACGAAGGCGTACAAGCCCGACGCCTCCAGTATCAGCAGGAAAAGAAGGGAGTCGTTGCTAGTCTCCCAACCGAGTTGCTCGGCGCAACGCCCGCAGCACCGCCAAGTGCAAGCAAACGCAAGGCCAGGCAACAATCGCAACCTCGCCAACAATCAGCGACATCGCACCACCACCACCACCACCCAACGCATGCCGCGAATCAAGTGGACGGTGTCCAGCCATCGTTGGAAGGTTCCGTTGAGCGAACGATGGCGCTGAATGCGCAGCGCCTTCGTGACCGCATGCGATCTCTCACAAAGTCGACCAGCTCCATCCAACCCTCCAAGGCACCTTCGCCCCCTGCGTCGCCTCGCACAAACTTGGCATCGCCGCCTCCCCTTCAACACGTTCAAAACGTCATGGCCACGGCTGTCCAGGAAAAGGTGAGACTGGAGGAAACCTTGGTAGCTTGTTCATGGCTCACATGCCATGGTCCAGAACGACGCAATGCTTCACAGTGCCCTCCTCTCGCTGCTCCACCAACACCAACCTGCTCCTCCATCTCCTCCACTGCTGTCACCGACTTCTCATCACGTATCCGCGTCCTGCTCATGGGCTACTTCACCACACACTCTGGCGATGGTTGCAACTGTGCCGACGCTGCGGTGGGTGTCCAAGCCAACGATCGCGCTGGCCCTGCGCGTCCTCTTCGGCCTCTGCGCATCGCACCGCCACCACATCGATACCCTGCTCGGGTCCAACCTGGTCCTTCCTCTTGTCGACGTGTTGGTGTGGGCCCTCCAGCACTGGGATCGGAACGACGTGCTGAGATGGGCCATGCCGCTCCTCGCGCTGTGTCTCGGGCCAACATCGTCATCCAAGCTCGACACTATGCGCGAAGACGTTGGCAGGTACACCGAGCCCACGTTTCAGCGTGATGTGTGGAGCTAACTCGTGGAAATTTCGTCGACCTCTCCACCTTTGACGGTCCAGAGTTCGGCATGTGGCTGTGTTGTGGGATGATCGAGTCCTGCCAATGTTTGGGACGGCGCCATGTCGAGTCGTTCGATTTGAACCGAGACCGATGCGCATGCATGATGCTGAGGGCGCTTTCTCGACGGCTCGCTTGACCATGGGATAACGCTTAGGTACATCGCGAACGTGGGCATTTTGTTCCGGGTCGCCGATCGGTTCGCGTTGGTGGCCGTGACCCAGCAAGATGATCTCTTCCGTCTCACGTGCCACTTTTTAATTGCGCTGACGCGGCAGTGCCACCCAAAGCGCCATGTCGTCGCACGCACGATGCAAGATTTGCGGGTGCCCGTGGCCAAGATTTTTAAAACCACGGGGCTCTTTGGTACGTCGCCACGACCATCGACAAGTCTAGAGGTGTCTCATGGTGGCCAGGGATGATTCCGTTGCTGTTGGCGAGTGTGCCGATCCACGAATTTGAACAGCTTGCACCTTCCGACGATTCCAACGCGAGCAACGGCGGCAACAACGCGACCGAAGCACAAAGTTTTGCTAGGAAGAATTCGTCGTGTGTCGTCGCGCTCAGCGGGTTGATTCTTCGCGCACTCACCAACATCGCGCGCCTCGACGTGACGTGGTTTCAAGCGGTCGTTGGGTCGTCATCGAACCACCCGCGTTTCCTGGAGCTCGTACGGTCGGTGCTTCTTTCTGCATGCCACGAGTTGCTCGTGGAGTTGCTCCCGTTGCTCGGTTACTTTGCGCTGCAATGTCGTGCTCACCAAAAGTTGGTGCGGGAAGACGCCCCTTCAGGCGATCCGTCGGTATTGCAGCTTCTCGCGGCGACGCCATTTCCCTTTTACAGCGATTCTCGGTAAGATTTGTAGATGTGCTTGCGTCATGGATATTTTGGCAAAACATGGATCCAAGCTCACTCGCGTGCGATGTGTCTGTAGTGGGAAGGATGTGCTATTCCCGACGTTGCTGATCTGCTGCTGGGGAGACGACGACAACTCGGCGATACTCGAGATGGACGTGAACCCGATCATGTTGGTCGTTTACCTCCAAAAGCAAATCGAGCAACAACGGGCGGCGTCGACCGCCACCTCCTCGTCGATGTCGTCGGGCGAATCGTGGCGCGGGCTGGCGGCGCGGCTACCGCTCGACTCGTGGGACGATGTGCTGCGGTACTTTGAGGGACGAAGCGGCGGCACACGTCCTCCTTGTAAACAGCGTCACGCTGCGCCGTGAAGCGTCCGTGTTAGGAATTGTCGCCGTTTCGAACGAAATTTGACGTTTGGCACAACTCTCAAATGCCGCCCAGATTCTGGTGTTGTATACCTCGGTTTAAGGACGAAACGATCCCCTCGAAAATCAGTGCATAGACAAAGCCAAATCCAATTTACAGCGTCAAGTTGAATGTTTTTAAATCGAGGGAGTGTGTGGAAACTTCGACCTCACTCCGATTCGACGTGCATGCGAACTTCCATTAAATTGCATACAAACCTCCATATCATTTCCCGATTTTCAAATAAAACCCGAAGCTCAATCCATACTTCGACGCATGAGATGTGGGTAATGCTGACGAGCCGACCAGTTGATCTCTTGTGTCGGGACCGCCGTCCATCGCACCATGTTGCGTCGCCGCACCCTCGCCACCCTTGCGGTACTGCTCCACGCCGATGTGCACGCGGTAGACACGGACTTCGGAGGGTACCCAGCCCGTTCTGGAGTCGGCATCTGGGTTGATGTTGACACGCCGCAGGAAGCGCGGACAAAGGTGTCATCTCGCGGCGAAACGTGGGACCTTGTCATGAGCGACGAGTTCGAGATTGAGGGCCGATCGTTCAAAGCGGGCCAGGATCATCTCTGGACAGCTCTTGACATCCCCGACGGCGTCAATGCCGCGCTTGAGATGTACAACTCGTCCAACGTGTACACGAAGAACGGCAAGCTCGTCAACAAGATCGAGGAAGGACCAACGAATGCGACATACTTTAACCAGTGGCTTGAAGTGCCAGCGATGGAGACGCGCACGCTGGTAGGAATTCCTTCTTGAGACGTTTTCCAATTGTCGCTTTGGTTGTAGCACTACACCGCCGGCATGATTCAGTCGTGGAACAAGTTTTGCATGCAAGGTGGGCTCATCGAAGTCGCCGCCAAACTGCCCGGGGCGATCAATAACGTGCCGGACGCCGAGCACAAGAGCGTGACCAACAACCCGAACGCACTCGGGTTCAAGTGGGTCGATGGGAGGAAGGTTCCCCTCCCTCCGCTCACCCCAGTCGTCGACGGTGCATACTACCCAACGTGGCCCGGCATTTGGCTCATGGGGAACTTGGGCCGCGCGCTCTTCGCCGGCTCAACGACGCGCATGTGGCCATGGACGTACAACGAGTGCGACGAGTCGCTGGCGCCACATCAATTGATTTCGGCATGCAATGCCAATCCGGGCTACGGTTTGAATCCGAACCAAGGGCGCGGCGCGCCAGAGATCGACATCCTCGAGGGTGGCGGGAAGGCCATCTCGTCGTCGATTCAAATCGCCCCCGGCATGCCAGACCAGTACCGCCGGAAACCGGTCGTCAAGGGCGGCCCCGACACGGACAACAAAACGATGGAGACCAACATCTACTGCGTGTACGGCAAGGAGTGCTTGACCCCCGGCGCCAACATCCCGGACGCCCCCACGTCGGCCTATAAGGAGCGCAACTACAAGAGCTGGTACCAAGGGCTCCGATATGCCGTCAACAGCCAATGCCCCCGAAACTACGCCCAAGCTCAAGGCGAAAAGGGCTACTTGTCGGTATGGTGTCGGCGACGACTTCTTGTTCAAAGCCACGACATGCACTCTCCTTTTGTTGCTTCGACGTCCCTATATGCGCTCTGGACGCCCCTTCACCGCACGTCGGGGGCGATGCTGGATCGAGCGGCGTTACCAGTGTCCTTGGTGGTGATCGAAACGACTCTCATGTATATCGGACGTGCGTGTAGGTGAAAGCGGCGCAGGACAAAGGGCTCATCAACTTGAACTACTGGTATTGGGAAGAGATGAGTGCAGCCAAGGACGTCCATGCGGACCTGGGCCTCATCGACGGCAAGGGGCCTCTCCACTGGGGTATCAACTACGAAGGCCGGTGCTTTCCCATCGCGAACGGCTACGTCGGATCGTTCCTGTGTGACCCCGACTCGAAGAACCCCAAGTGCGAGTCGCCGCGCAAGGAAGGCGTCGCCGACACGAACCAAATGGCCAAGTTTGAGTACCAAATGGATGCGATCTCGGCCAACTGGGACATCAATCACGATGCGTACACGACGTTTTACATTTACCAAGTCGAGTGGTCGGTCGTTGATCTTGGACATCACGAGCTCGACGACTCACTTCGGTCTGGCACAGGGTCATGGGCGCGACCGGGTACATTCGGTGGAGCCTGCGCGACGCGCCGCTGTTCGAGATTCCCGCAGCTGCCATCACAGACCCGCCGCAGGACCCGACTGGGAAAGTCCGCAACCCCAAGAAGCTCATGATTGAAGAGCCCATGTACATCATTTTCAACGTTGCGCTCGCGAAAGCATGGGGTACGCGTGCTGCTCCACTGCGTCGGTCGTAACGGGACCATGCTAGGTGCCACTCCGCCCAACGTTGGCATCGGCCCGTGCCGCGGGAACGCGACGCACCCTGCGCCAGGCTCGGAAGCATACAACAAGACGCACAACATTTGCGACTCGTTCCCCATGTACATGGAGGTCGACTACATCCGCATCTACCAAGACGTGTCCACGATGACGCTGGGGTGCGACCCGCCGACTCACCCGACCAAGCAGTGGATCGACGAGCATCTCAAGGACTACACGGATGCGAAGAACCCCATGACCCGCGTCGACGGCGGCGCGACTTGCAACTCGGACGACGACTGCCTCGCCATCGGCACCACGGTTCCGAGCGGCCGGTGTGCGGAACGCCGGTGCTTCTGCGTCAAAGGGTATGGCGGCCCCCGGTGTACCAAATTTGTCGGCGCGAAATCCATCGACACCAAATCGCCCAACTTTTTTGGCCCGCAATATCTCTACCCTGTCGTCCTCATCAGCGTCGTCGCGCTCGTGCTCGTCCTGACAACGGTCGTTCGACGAAGGCGCCACGCCGCTGCCGCCGCGCTCGCTGCCACCACGCAAAGCCGCAAACCCACCAAGCAACTCGACGACAACTTCGACGACGACGCGACCCCGCAGCAGCAGCAGCGGCGATTCTATGCCCCTGCCAACTCGTCGCAAGTCTAGTTGGTGGTTTCAATACAATAGGCTTTAGATCGAGCTGGCCCTGGGTGCCTCCCCGTGTTTCCCATGGTGCAAGGCTGGCTTGAGCAAACCGCGGTTTGCCTACTCTGTAAAGATGAAGGATTTGGCCATTGCAGAAGTTGTACGTGGCAGTGGCGACGGAACGTGGAGGGTGGTCCCGCTAACTGCCGCGGCAGTAGTACGGTGTCCGCTGTGATCACGTGGTAGCACGATTGGGGCATACACGATGTGCATGCAGGTATCGAAGTGGCCGCCTCGCGTGAGTGCAGTCGTCTGGCACAATGCTGGGTTGTCGCAGTGGACTCACGTGAGCGTTGTGTTTGCTGTCATGCATGGAGAGGCTGACTCCAACACTCGAGATCGTCGGTGTGACGAAGTCGCAAACTTCCACCATACGCATTGCAATCAAATCGAGCAATTGCTCAAAGCACAGATTCTCCAGCAAATTGAGGTGCACATGGCCAACGCCTCGAGCGGTGTGCGCGCCGTGCCGACGCCACTAAAGATGGGATGGATGCCCTTGGGAAAGGACAATCCGAGTGAAGGACGTTGTCATTAGAGAGGTTTTGGTGCAATTCCAGTCCCCATCCAGTGGGGCGCCCCACCATATGGTGACAAAACCGGAGTCAACCTGTAAAATCTAGTTCTG